GGACTACAACAAGACAAGTTTTTAGTCATGGACAACTTTATGTTGGCCTGTCAAGAGTTAAGTCATTTGACAGCCTTTCAGTAATTGCTCCAAGATGCCAAATCTATAATTGTGTTTTCAAAGAAATTCTAAATGCTTAGTGTTAATTTCTTAGAGCTTTGCAGAAAAAAATGTTTTTTGGAAAAAATTTAATTGAATCTTCTATTGGCAGTAGGCAAGGGGAACTGCCAAAATCAAAACTACCCGATTAGAAATGCAGCATGGCGACCTCCACGTGGTATTTCTCGGGTAATGCTAAAAGCCATGCATTTTAATTTATTGTATGTAAAACATCCTTATTTTGTACTAAAATGTTAAGTACTTTATCACAAATCTTAAATAATATAGAAATTGATTTCAATAATGCTGATCACCAAAAAATATTTCATTTGGCTATAAAACAAATGTTTGTGTTCCTGAAAATGAAAGACTTTTTGAGGGTTATTATCTTGCAAGGAAAATTTAGGGTTTAAAGTTTATATTTTTAAATAATAAATTTTTTTTCTAAAACTTTCAGAATTTCTAGCATTAACTAATTTATTATACACATTTAGTTGAATTTAGGTGAGTAACTGCAATATTTGATAATTTATTTTGCTAATATGTTTCTCATTTAGCTAATGATTTGATTTTTTCACCAGGTAAAATCTAAATAGCTAATATACTTTTTTAAAAGCCAATAAGAACATTGATAGAATTCTTCTACATAAGTACAATACTATGTCTTTGTGCTAGAACATTGTGTTCATTGGCGAGCGAGCGCAGAGAGCCATGGTTCACGGCATGAACCATATAGGATTGCGTAGCAATTCTCGGGGGTTGGCGAGCGTTAGCGAGCAGAGGGCGGAGCCTCCTAGTATATATATACTCTACTTGCCATTAAAATTCCTACACCTGGAAGGAATGCAAATAACAGAATGATATTTATTGGGCACATACACTATAGTTGTAAGAACAAGTGATTAAAATTTAAGGATATTTGGATGTATAGATCCTGAGGAATCATTACTCAGAGCAGCCACCCCCTGGCAGCAATAACAACAGTTTTTCTCCTAGGCATCGAGTAGAACAGAGATTGGATAGCATGGACGGGTACAGCATTCCATGCAGCTTCAACTTTATGCCACAATTCATCAACTGTAGTGACTGACGAGTGGTGGCGTGCCAATCTTTCGGCAACCATTGACCAGGCGTTTTCAATTGGTGGGAGATCAGGAGAACGAGCAGACAAGAGCAACAGGCGAATATGTTCTGTGTCAAGGAAGGTCAGGATAGTGCGGGCAACATGCGATCGTGCATTGTCCTGCTGAAACGTAGCGTTATGAAGACCTCGAAGATACGGCGAAGCAACTGGCTCTAACACATCAGAAATATAAGGGCTGCTGTTCAAAGTACCGGCAATGCGAACAAGAGATGACCGAGACGTGTATCCAATGGCACCCCATACCATTACTCCAAGTGATGGGCCAGTATGACGATGTCGAATGCAAGCTGCCAATGGGCGTTCTCCACGATGTCGCCAAACACGGATACGGCCATCATGATGCTGAATACAGAACCTGGATTCGTCTGAAAAGACTACGTCACGCCATTCCTGCGTCCAGGTTCGTCGTTGATCACATCATTGAAGGCGCTCCTGAAGGGGATGCAGCATCAAGAATAGCCGAAGCCATGGTCACTGTGCTGACTGTCCATGCTGCTGCAAACGTCATCGAACTGTTCGTGTAGACACTGGTTGTCTTGAAAATGACCCTATTTGTTGACTCAGGGTTCATGACGTAGCTGTGCGATCCCTTAAGGCCATATGGATAACATGTCTGTCTTTCCGGCTCTTCGTGATGGGGGCCGCTGAGATCTTGCACGGCTTTCCATATGACCGTCATGAACCCATCTATTCCATATTCTGCTAACAGTCATTGGATCTTGACCAACGCGAGCAGCAATACTTCGGTATGATGAACCGCAATCCCTGTAGGCCACAATTCGACCTCGATCATATATATATATATATCCATCTGATCGCATACTCAGAACTGCCATCATGCTCGAATGAAAAGTTACATTTCGCTCTATTAATAAAATGAGATATGCTAGTTTTATAGTATTTTGGAGATTCGAATATCCGCTTAAAAGTTTGGAATAATCACAGGGGGTTTGGATTATAGACTGGAAGTCTGTAATATTTTCTGATTCGTCTACTCAATGTACATTAGTGGGTTCGGAGCACCCACTAGGGGTCTGGAATACCCATCTGTACGCAGAGTAGGTTTGGAATAGTCACTGGGTGGTCTGGAACAGCTAATTTTACTTTTACTCGGAGTAGATTTGATTGGTGTTCGAGACGTTAAGACTCTCAACGGTGTTAGAGCCATCGGCATTTATGGTACTTCAAGTTCATCAGACAGCTCTTCCTTAATAGAGGACGAATATGATGAGTCTTTATAATCCATTTCTTCTCTTAATAAAAGACATCACGTGGAAATATATAGTTTACAGACATCTGAAAAAATAAATAGTTGCAGTGTTACAGTTTTTTTTTTTTTTTTTTTTTTGACGATCGCAACACTGGAATTCGTGATCTGGGGAGAGACCGGTTTCATGCCTTTAGCCCTTCTCCCTTCCCTCTCCTCCTCTTTTCAGTTGTATGGGAATGTACTATGATATTTTCCCTCTTTTTAATATTTTTCCTTTTTATTTAATGAAAACATTTTTCTTAAATTTCAGTGATACTTTTCTTTAGAGCTATGCTTAATGTAGTTTTCAGCTCCATATAGTTTTCCAACTTAAAAGATTTTAATCTATATGAAAATCAAGAGAGAAACTAACGCACTTCCTTTCTCCATATGACTTTCCACACGCTAATGGGGAAAGCATGTGAAGTGTTGCCATGGGTAGAGAGTTCTGCTCTACTCCACCAGCAGTTGGGGCCTCCCTGGCCGAGCGATATCGCCGGTCCAAACGCTCTGTTAAGCGTGGAGGTAGCGGGTTCGAATCCCGCCGTAACCCTGGATGTATTCTTTGTGATGTCTTTCTCTGAATTGTTCTATCTGTATTTTCTACTTGACAATGACTTATAAGCCTATATTGAGCACACAAGTCAGCAAATGTATGTAATTTCAATAAATCAATCAAATCATGCATCAAATCATTTTAAGGGGATTAGAATTTTGTTTCGTATACCTTGATGACGTTTTAATTGCTTCCAAAACTTTAGAAAAACACTTAACTCACTTAAATATAGTTTTTAAACGTTTTGATGAATACGGAATTGTTTTGAATACCGAAAAACGTGTGTTTGGAAAATCAAAGTTAACATTTTTAGGTTTTGAAGTGTCTCCCGATGGAATTGCTCCTTCACCTAGTAAAGTGTCCGCAATTACCGATTTTCCCCAACCTAAAACTGTATCGGAATTACGTAGATTTTTAGCAATGTTCAATTTTTACCATAGATTTATAGATCACGCTTCCGAAAAACAATCTCTCCTTAGTTCCTTACTCACAAATAAAAAGAAAGACCCTACACCCATTAATTGGTCAACCGAAGCTGTGTGCGCTTTTGAAACTTGCAAACAAGCCATTTCTAAGGCAGCAACACTTGCACACCCCACACCCGCCGCAAAATTGTTTTTGCATACAGACGCGTCCGACGTTGGTATAGGCGCAGTCCTTCAACAGCTAAAAAACTCCACACTCGAACCTCTAGCATTCTTTTCTCGCAAACTCACGCTCACTGAAAGAAAATACAGTACGTACGATAGAGAGTTACTCGCAGTCTACTCTTCCATACGGTACTTCGCTCACATGTTAGAGGGAAGAGAGTTCCATGTGCTAACGGATCATAAACCGCTGAC